GGCGCTGTCGTCGCGACACAAGCGAAACACATCGAAGCCTAAATCGCGCTTACAAAGTTCCGAAGTTAAAGCAATATATATAGGGCAGAACACCTTGCCCGGCGGGAGATCTCTCCTTTTCCTTCCACCCGCTACACCGTAAACATCATTAAAATCAATTCATTCGTTAAACAGAAATTATTGTCCAAAACTTTGTAGCGCTTTGCATTTGAGATTAGCGAGAAGTTGCAGGGATATAACCGTATTTTTTTCAGTAAAAGGGAAAAACGAACACCACAGTCCACTTGATGATAAGTTGATGTTGTGGCACATGGACATCTACATTTCTCCCCAATTAAGAATCAAAATGCAGATGTGTTGTCACCCCTGAGGACTAAGGTGAAATGCCTCGTCTCCAGTAAAAATTCTCCAATTCTTTACACTCACCATACGAAACACAATAGTATTAACCTGCTATTTTAGGCTAGTATTCTGTGAGAGCGTGGTCCTACCCCGGTCGATACGACCAATTCGTGCCACAACCATAATATAGCTGCAGCGTGGTTCCACCACTTATAAATAGTTAAAAAAATATAAGTTATAAATTTCCTTTTTACTTTACAATAATTATTTAACAAAGTCAGTTCTTTTTAATGGAGTCCTTCTGCACACTTTATTGGTCACGCTTACATCTTAAGTTGATCGTACGTGCTCTGTTGTATGTAGTTTCCTTTGTAATCGTGTTCAACCAAACTTGTTATCTTTTAACCGATTAAATTACGCCCCTAAATATTATTTTACTTGTGTCGGAAATTAAATTACAAGTCCGGCTGTTCTAGGACAATTAAATCTCTAAAGCTGTGCCAAAACATCTGGTATTACCTGTTATAAAGGAATTAAACATAAAGATAACATAATACAAGCAGTACAGCAAAAACAACGGCTCCTGATCGACCTAATAAGGTTTTTACCTATGAAATTGCCGTTTATTATAAAATATGTTACCGTAATTATTTTTTATATTTTTGTTTTCTATTAATCAAAGTAAGCACATATGCAATTGATGCATCTTTGCCAACGCAGTGGCAGTTTATTGATGCCCTTGTTGAATAAATCAGCTAGACGGGTGACAACGAAGTCTTCAATGGCATTTTGTACTGCCTCTTGTGTATTGAATATTTTGCCCGCCAAAAAGTAATTCAAATTTAGCAAAAAGTAGAATTCTGTTGGCGCAAGATATGATGAGTACGGAGGATGACGGAGAGCTTCCAACCCCAGCTCTTGTAACTTAGAGACCGTCTTTTGTACAGGGTGGGGTCGCGCGTTGTCGTGCAGGTCGTGCGGAGACGAGCGATTAACCAAAGCAGGTTGGAGACGTGAAGCTCCTCCATCATTGTGTTTACATATGTGAAGTAATGCTCATCCCGTTTGATGAGAAGCTATGATAAATCACACCGGCGCTAGACTATCAAACAATGTCCATCACTTTTTTAGGGGCAAGTTTTCGTTTAGGGCATAATTTTTTTATATAGGATAGGGTGACAAACGAGCACAAAGTGCACACAGCCTGATGGTAAGTGGTTGCTGTGGCCTATAAACATCTCCATCCTCGTTTGTGAATCAAAATGCAGATGCGTTGTCACCCATGAGGACTAAGATGGAATGCCTCTTTTCCAGTAAAAAGGGTTTCCGGTTCTCTACACTCACCATACGAAACACATCAGTATTAATAAGCTGCTATTTTACGCTGGTATTCTGTGAGAGCGTGGTCCTTTCCTGGTCGAGCTGACCCTCTCCTGCTACAATTATACTACTATTATAACTACAGCATGACTCGTATCACGTGCAAGAAGCACGTGCTGAACCAGGATTCAACCAACTGGCTGAGAACTTGCGATTATCAAACAGAATCCATTTTTCGTCCCAGGTAACAAAATGTGCTGCGGTTCAGAATGCCTTCGTTAGTGTGACTCTTGAGCAGAGCAAGGCACGTCTCGATGCGCTGTCAATTATTGAGTTTTTGAGGCTTTTTGTCAGTTTTTTTTTCACTTTGCCAATTTAACACAAATGAACCAATATTGTTTTGATGCCAACGTCGAAAGCTGCTGCTAATTCAGCCGTAGATTGAGTATCATAAGCTTCTAAAATTGCCTTAATTCGTCATTGTCGATCCTACTATTTTAGTAGGAAGACATTTCGTAAACCATATTTTAAATCTGAGGCTATCAATAAATGCCGTTTAGTAATATTTATCAATAAACAGCCGTGAACTAGTGCGCTGGACCGAGTTTGTGCAAGTGTTGCAAACAAATTTTGCCAAGTGTATGCGCAATCAGAGGTGCACTGTCAGTTCCCTCATTTTCATCGACCAATGGGACGGTAATCCAACACACATGATCAAAAAATCCTAAATTATTTTATTAGAAATACGAGTAGCTAAGTACTGGTAAAATAAGCACATAATATTATATAAATAAATTCGTGAAGAAGTTTCAAAATATAAAGGTTAATAATATATACCAATATCTGTGTATTAAAAATTTTCATGAAAAATGTAGAACATTTTGCGTGGTGGTGCCAAAATTTGAATCAAAATTACTGCCCGGAGTATTAACCAAGTGAGAAGTAGCATGTTCGTAAGATAAACGTCCGGAGCGCTGTTTATTGTCATTGCAAACCAATCACCAAAAATTACCAGCAACTGAATTCGCTCAGACTGAAATAGGTAGCTTATCATCATCGTCATTATCATAATAATCGTCATCATTATCATAAAATCGTGAGGGAACTACACGTCCAAGGAATAAAAATTCAAATATTTTGGAGATATTTGGAGTCCAACAACACGCGCCTTAGCGGCACGGTGTCCAAGATGCTCAATAACCCTTTAAAATTAGATAACCTAGCGAAACCTATGTTGTTAAACATATAACAAATAAGAATAAAATAAATCCTAAAAACGCAGTAGGACAAAGCGATGGTAATTTTGCTGCTCCAAAAGAACTCTCAGGAATATGAATATGTTATTTTACTTATAGTTGATTGAGAAGTTCTCCCCTTTTGGACTTTAAACAGAGAACTGCTCTAAAAACTTTTGAAGTTTACAACAAAAAGTTAAGCTGTTATGGTTTTCCTCTGCGCAACATAATCGAGCATCATGAGCTGCGCTATAAAGCACTTCCCGCTACTTAGCATTAAGTACACATTTACCTTTTCCCTTTGATCACTTTCTCTTTTTTCCTCTCTTTCTTAGATTGTCGAAAGGGTAATGGAGCTATTTAATGTAATATAAGTGGTATATTTTTTGTGTAATACTAGTTGGTACCCGGCGCGTTCGCGCTGGAGAAGAAATTCTTTTAGAGATATCGTTTTTAATTTAGAAGAGTTATATTGTCTAATCAGGAATGATAATACATTCATTGTAGTTGAATAATAAATAAAATTTAAATAAATTAGTCAGTATGATACGCGCGCTACCTACTGTTAAGTCTAATACGAACATTAGTGCTTAGGCAGTTTCTAGTTTGATACAGGAATTTGAGCCTACAGAAACAATTTATTACAGAAATAATTTTAAAGATTAATAACAAAAAGAGAGCTGGAGGTGCTCAGAAAATAAATGCCGCACCCAAAATATTTAACTTCTATTCTCGGCGAAAATTATTACAAGCACATTTTAACTTTGATTTACTACATACTTGTTGATGAGCAATAATATAGTGAGCAAACCCGAATTTCAAAAACTGAATGCAAATAAAAATGATTTCGTCAACACACAGTAAGACAGCGCGATAAATTCTTCCAAAAGAACCCCTTTAGAAATATATTGTCTGTGGATGATTAGTAGCGCGTTTGTTCTGTTTACTTTCTAATCTCACGTTCTTTTTTATATGTGATCATTTGGTTCGCGAAACTCTTCCAGTACTATTGATATAATAGTCATAGATCCTGAGCAACATATCATAAAAATCCTTAAAAGGTATTTGAAAAAAATGATCATATTCTAAAAAAGATAAAAAAAATAATTATATGCTAGGTAGTGTCTTCGAGTCAAGAAGAGCGAACGTATTCTACCCTAAAAACCTTTGTAATATTCGTATCAATACGTATTAGATTCATTGACACTCCTGGGTCCAGACGTGGAAAAATGCGGCCATCCCTCGTCTAGATATATCGCCATCCTTGCCGAAAGAATGTTTTGCGCGCCTCGTGAAACAAATGCCTATTCGTTCTTTTCAGTCGCTTTTTGAAATACATAGATGGTGCGAGGTGCGAACTTAAGCTTATAGCTACTGTCAGTAATTATGAAATGACACATATAAATAAAAGAATAACTCAATTCGCTTTTACATTGCCGTAGTCTAATAGATAAAATCAATAAAAAATTGGAAATAACTAATTTTATATTGTACTTTAGAAACATTTGATTTGTCAGCCGCTTTATCTCAAGGGTACATTATTTGGAGCGGCTTATTTTGGCTGGTGCGACATCAGAGGCGGTTGAACTAAGCATAAATGAAGCGATATGTGTCTCCGAGAGAGCCGGCATTTGTGGCAGAATTTTAGGTTTTAGTTTTATATTACGAGTATAATAAATATTATGAAAGAAAAAAGGCATACCCTGTACATAGCACAGCGTTGTAAACAGTCTGTAACTTTAATTTAGATAAATAAACAGTGTAATTGAACTATTAACTTGTAAATAAAGAAGTATCAGTAAAATTGCCATTTTATTAGTACTTACACGTTTGATTTGGTTACATTACAATATAGCTGCCAAAGTTCCTTCAACGAATCTGGAAGTTGTAGCCTTGCAAAAAAATGTCAAGAGAATTAAATTACTATTGGATAATAATATTATTGTAATAACACTTTAAAGCAAACATTTCAATACAAAAATTATTGTTACTTATATTAAATTATGTAAAAAAAAAACCTACGTCTGAGACTGATATTGACATTGAACTTTACATACGAGTACAATCGTCTGTTTACGATAAAGACACAAGACACTGGTCATCATGCGAGGCGCACGTGTTATTGTTTTTGTGATTTGTTACCTGTTTTCTATAAATGTTTTTGCCAAGAGATTTGAAACCCGATGTAAGCTTGTTCGCGAGTTGTTAAAAGTTGGAATGCACAATGATATATTTCTTGGACAATGTAAGTTTTGTTAGTCTAGCTACTTTAGACCGTAAAATTACTAAAATTGTAATTTTTTATTGAATTAGGATGACAAGTGAGCACACAGCCCACCTGTTATTAATTAGATGCTGTGACCTATAGACATCTCTACATCTATCCTCGATTAAGAATCTAAATGCAGATGCGTCACCCCTGAGGATTTAGACGGAATGCCTCGTATCCAGTAAAAAGGGTTGTCGGTTTCGTTATGTGTTAATATTTTAATATGCCTTTTTTTAATTAAAACCTGGCTAACACTGGTCTGATATGAATGAATTCAACAATGAGTTTTTCCTTCAATGGCCAAAATAGAATTAAAAATCAATTGAATCTTCTTAAGGAGCTCGAAATTGATACGAGAACATCAAAACTTTACTTTCTAAAGGCTTCTTTTTATCTTTCAATGAAATGACAACGATTTGATGGCAAAAGTTATTTATTTGATTCTTATTCTGTGATCAAGATGGCTTTTATTTACTTAAACAACATAGCAAAACAAAGTGGAATTAGTTTATTTGACACATAAAATACAATGTAAATATTTACTTTTATGTTGGCATTATCAACCAATTTCATTATGTTTAAATGGCATGTCATTTCCAAACTTTATTATTGACTACCCAAGCTAAAAAAATAAATTTTATGTCTGAGATGCTTTCTTCACGACTGTGTTTTGAAATTTTTAGAATATACGTCGCATTATTTTCAACATCATTCTATCTTTTGATTAAAAAAGGTCAAATTTAGTGATGCGAAGTGTAAGTGCTGGCTGTCTTCAGGCTCTTTTACCCTTCGGACAAAGAAACAGCAGTGGATGTATTGCTACTTGGCTATCTCAAGCCTCTTATATTTCCTGGGCTTCTATAATATAATGGTATCCACAGTATTTGTATACTATATACGTGTAAATGTGGTATTTGTGAAAGCTCATTTGCACAAGGGTAGTGAATTGAATGTAATATTACAAGATGTTGCAAATTACAAAATACAAATTACAAAATACCTTAAAGCACACGCTACATACAACACAAGATATTGGAAAAGTCCAATTTATACTTCCTGTCGATCAGGTCATAATGGAAATGACTGCATTCATTGCTAAGGTAAATTTGGGTAATATCACAATGGCAGTTTATTATTTACAATGAAAAGAACACCATGTTAGTAAAAATAGTAACAGTAAAATAATACTATGTAATTGAGTAGTATCGATCCGTATATTATCAAAGAAGGGCCTTTTATGTGAATTCCGAGGAATAAATTGTATATGATTCGTACTTGAAATATACTTTTTCATTCACCGGCACTCGCAAAGTAAACATTTCACGTGCATTGTCCGTAAATAATTATTCAAAAGTGTTGTCTAAAGTACTCTGATGTATTAGTAACGTGTGCCGGAATAAAGCTCGTTAATTGACCTATCTCTTGGTATACATTGCATAAATATCAAGAATCCAGTGAGTATTAAGCAAAATCGTTAAATTATAATTTTTGCACACGGCACTACCCTGACCTGCGACAACCCGCAGAGTGCCCGCTGCTGTGACGTATCTACTGTGTTGTTGTGACTACTGGTCGCTCCTTGTCAATCGACCACCAGAGCCGTATCGCTCCTACGTTGCTTTGCGTTGCTCTTATATTGTGTAAGGCTCTGAGAAACTTTAACAAGCAGCGATATGGATGTTAACGTCACTTGTGGTGGCTGTAAGACGATTGTTAAGGATAAACACTTCATAATCTGTCAAGGATGCAAGCAGATGTATGATCTTGAGTGTGCAAATCTCTCGCCAGAACGACTGAAGAAGATGAATGCCGGGAATAACGCTAATGGCGATGTTTGGAATGCAAAAGTAAGAAACCAAAATCAGATTACACTAATACGCCAGTGCGAACGTCCGTTCACTATGTACCAGCTGCGCCTGATGATGAAACTGACACCGAATGCTATTCGGACAGCAACATAATACTGCGGCCAAATTACTTTTATCTTATAGTGAGCTAAAGGAGCTTTTTAAAGTTGAGAGGGCTGAAACAAGGGCTATTGTTTAGGCTTCTTCTAAGGGATTATTCGTACAAATATGGAATGAATGTACAATTTACTAGTTTTCAAGAGTCTATGACCTACATAAACTGCCAATACGAAGACCTGAAAAAGGAAATTACTGACTCGGAAAAGCTGCTCAATTCTACATCACTACAATTGAGGTCACTGAAAGAGGAGAACAATATGCTTAAAGAAAGCCTTACTACTTGCACTGCCCGAGTCAAAGAGTTAGAGGTGGAGAACCGAAAACAGAAACAATAGCAGAGATTGCAAAACCTTGAACTTGTCATCATACCTGAAAATAAGGGTGAGGAGTTAATTAACATTGTGCTAAAAACGGCGAATCATGTCAACGGCCAACCCACAAACGTAGAATCCGCTCAAATAGCACAGTCGAGGCGTAACGCAAGCGCTCATAGAGCACGTCCTGTAATCGACAGATTCAGAAAGCGCTCTACTAAGGACCGAATGATCGCGGCAGCACGTAAACAGCCCAACATGTCCACCAGAAATATCGGGAGGGGAGGTGAAGAGAGCAGAAACTATATCAATGAACATCTCATTAAGGAAAATAAAATGTTTTTGGGTTCTTGAAGGCAGAAAGTAAGAGAGACAGGGTACAAGTATGTGTGGACAAAAAACTGCCGAATTTATGTCAGAAGAAACGACACCTCGACTCCATTTGCGATATACTCGACGAGCGATCTTGGAAAGATATTGTAATTAAGTGCCTTGCTATCTACTCTTACACTTCTTATAATATTCCGGTGTTCACTTTAAAACACAGCATACACAAATACACATACATTATTAAATCTAATTACACTCATATTCACATTATACACTGCATATACATATCACGTACTTTAGAAACAATTGCATACTATCCTACCCTCTTATCCTTACTGCATGTACGAGTACATTCAATGGTCATTATCATATCTGTCACCCAAACTCTGCTTAATACCTGCTCACTATTTAAACCATTCGTTTACCATTGTGCGGTTCAATTTATTTCAACCGTCCATATAACCAACTGCAATTATATACGTCTTGCCTATGTGTTTCAACACACTCAATTCAACGGAGATGAATAACAATAATATGAAGAAAATTAAGCTATTCTATCAAAACTTGAGAGGACTACGAACCAAAACCCATGATTTTTTTAAAACGTATTATTGCAGGACTCCGATATAATTACGATAACTGAAACAAGGCTCTGCGATTTTATGATGCTGAGCTGTGTGATGACAAATTTACACTCTTTCGTAGGGATAGAGTTTCGTAGTTGGGGGGTGGTGTAATGATTATGTGTGCTTCGAATTTACAGGCACGCGCCAGACCAGAATAACATTGTGGTGATCTGGAGTCTGTCTGGGTAACAATTCCTGCTGCAGCTATCAAATCCAGGCATGATTATCATATTGCTACAGTGTATATCCCACGCAATGATCAAATTCCATCAACATTGCACATATTTATGAATCAACTCTATGAAATGAAAAGCCAAAACTACTATGATCACTTTATACTTGCGGACGACTTTAACCTTTCTATCATTGACTGGCAATATGGGGAACCAATAATTCTGAGGAAAGGCTCTATCGAGCTTCAGAATGCTGCATCGAGTTTTGTCGCTCAGTCTTCCTTTCTTGGTTTGTCACAGTTTAACAATTACACTAATAACTGTAACAATACATTGGACCTACTCGTAATTTATTCTGATCGACCGTCACCATAAAGAAATCTACGACGCCTTTAGTAAAGGAAGATCCTCTACATCCGACTCCTTCTGTTGTAGCTTCCGATATTCTAGTCCCTCCAATTTAACCTCAATCTCGCACTAAATATCAATATAAACGAGCTGACTATGATAATATCAACAAATTGCTTAGAAATCAGGACTGGAGTTTTATACTCGAAAATAGTAACATAAAGCACATATTAACGATATTTTACTCGATTTTAAATAATATAATACAAACCTTACGAAGGTTCATTGCTCAAGTTCGTTGCTCAAGTACCTACATTTATCTAGTTTGGTATAATAAAGCGTTCATACAACTAAATAAAGAAAAAGTTAGGACGTCATATGAATTGGAAACGTCATTGAAACCGGATTGATTATGCACATTTTAGCTATCTCAGACGGAATATTAAGAAACTACGGACGGAATGCTATCAATAATTCATTGGTTTCTCTCAACAAAGAATTAAGACTAATCCAAAATATTTTTGGACTTATATTAAGTCCAAGAGAATAGTAGGCTCCTCTTGTCCCCAACAAATGATCTTTGATCAGAATGTGTTAAATGCACCATCGGATATGTTTCGCATTCAGCAACTTTTTTGAGAGAAACTTGTGTGAACCAGTGAATCAATACCCAGATAGCTCAATAAATAAAATTCCCAGATCTGATACTAAACATGACATTAATTTTAGTAAAGAGTGTACTTACCAAATGCTTGAAAATCTTGATGTCAAAAAGGGAGATGGTTGCGACTGTATTCCACCGGTATTCTTCCTTCAATGTGCTAAATCTCTATCGGGTCCTTTGTCATTGGTCTTCAACAGGTGTCTTCGAGATATATACTTTCCTTCATTCGATCTGGAAAAAGGCCGATATAGTGTCAATTCATATCTGTACTTAACGAGTTGAGCAAATTGTTCAAGAGGGTCGTACATAAATTTATCTATCCTGTAATATCTGTCTCAATACCGATAGAGCAGCATGGTTTCATGAAGGGTCGGTCCACGTCTACCAATTTGGGAGTATTTATAATTACGTATTAAGTAACATAGATGGTAGGTCTCAGGTTGATGTGATTTATACGGATTTTGAGAAGGCGCACGCACGCACGCACGCACGCACGTACGCACGCACGCACGCACGCACGCATGCACGCATACACATACGCGCGCGCACACGGTTATACAGATCAAAGGGAGAGAGACGCACCGTTTTTGTTTTTTAATTCTAAAATAGTATGTTTTTGTGACTCAAACTTATTGATTGTTGGTCGATTGATATAATTAATAAGTAAAAAAATGTTAAAAGTAGATTCGTTATTGGCTGTAAGTTTATTTCTTAAATTCATTTACATTGTAATTAGTGCTATAATAAAAAAAATTCTTAGGTCACAGCAAAAAGTCTTTAAAAAAATTATTACAAGGCATTCATTTAAAGTGTAGAGTCAAGTTGCAGCTATTTCATTCCTGCAGCATGAATGGGTCGGCTTGACTGTGAAAGCTTTACACTCTCACAGAATACCAGCATACTGTGTTTTGTATGCTCAGTGTTTAGAACCGGAGAGCCTGATTATTGGTAAAGAGGTATTGTAATAAAGCTCTCGGGCGTGAGAGCGTACCCAAACTTTTAATAATTTAGGATATAATATATAAGTATCTATATCTATAGATGTAGTTCACCACTCTACTAAACTATTACTTTATTCAATAAAATTTTATTGATTTTATAGTTTGAATTGAGCTGTGTTAAAATTTGCTTGAAACTAATTTTAACATGGCAGGTAAAAATAACTAATAGTCGGGTCTACTTAAAGAGAGGCTTAAGTTTCTTACATCGTGACTCGAGCAGATTCAAGTTAAGTGAAGTTTCGGAATAAAAAGTTGAGTGCTATCAAGACCGACACTAGAGCTGCATATTGCTCTTCTCTCCCTCATAAAATAGCAGAATATTACCTGTTATTAACCCGTCGAATACAAGACGGGGTGCAATGGCATACTGTATGATAATCTCAAATTTTTAATATATCTAGTCAGGTCATAAATTCTGTCACATGTTTAATATAAAATAATTGAAACAAATTTATTCATTATGTAACCATTTATATACCAAAATTAACTCAACAAAACATAGATTCTTATGACACTTAAGTTTATTCAAAATGACCTCCGTGATTTTGAATACAGGCCTTCAATCTGCGCGGCCAGTCGTCTATCGCAGCACGAACGAGGTCTATGTCAATATCGGCGGCTGCCTTAATGAAGGATGTCTTGAGTGACTCCAAATTGGGTGAGGCTTTGAGTACGCCTTTTCTTCCAAGTGTTGCCATATCTTTTAATCTAACGGATTCAAATCTGGACTGGAGGAGGACCAGTCTTCGTGCCAGATGAATTCGATTTCACGCGCCGCCAGCCAGTCTTGTGTGCTCTTCGCTCTATGAGCTGGCGCCGAATCTTGTTGGAATACCCAGTGCCTGTTATTTAACATGGTATGAGAAACAGGTTCCACAAGGTTCGTTAGGACTGTATTTTGATACACAACTGCATTCGTTTTTACACCTTTCTCACAAAAATGTACCTCTGTTAAGCCCCAATAAGGAACTCCCAACCATACCATGAGCGAGGATGGAAAATGACCTCGTTGGACACGCGGAATACGGTTGCTCGCTTCTTCACTACTGTGTGCGTACACCTTATCATTTTGTTTGTTGTAGCTCTCTTCTAGGGTAAAAATGTTTTCATCCGAAAAAAGAATTTCCCGATATTTTTTTCCCGCGTACCGCTTCAACAAAGCGCGGCAACTCTTCAGTCTCAGGTCTATTAGACGAGCATTCAAACGATGTCCTGTTTTTCTTTGATATGCCCGAAGCCCTAAGTCTTCATTTAACACCCTTTTCACCGTTGTTCTGCTTAACCCCATCTGAAGGGCCAACAGTTTCTGCTTATGTTTGGGATTTCTTTGAATTCGCGCCTTCAAAGCTTTTATCACTGCTGTAGTCCTAACAGACCGAGGGCGACCACTTCTTGACCTGTCATCTACACTAGAGTCTTCATTGTATCGTTTGATGGTACGATAAACGAATCTTTTGGTTATATTCAAATTTTTAGTATGTCAAAAATTTGAATTGGCGCGTAACCGCAACGATGCAACGCAATAACTGCAACACGGTCTTCTTTAAGGGTCCACTCCATATTTAAAAATGAGTAAAATTCTAAAAAGTATACAGTTTTATTTTCATGAACAATTCGAAATTCGAATTCAATAAACTTTTTTGTGGCCAGCATTCTAAAAGAAAAGTTTTTACTGTGTGACAATACTTATGACCTGACTAGGTAATATTCTTAAAATAACCTTCCAATAACATAGTAATTTTTGTACCAAGATTATTAAGAAAATAAAGCGTAAGTATATCACAGAATACAAAAACAATGCATCAGGTTTGTAGATCCGCCATTAACCTCAAGCAATAATTTTTTACAAGTGGCTGTAAAAAATATTTTGTCCTCTTTTGCGAAACAACTATAAGGTCAGCCATTTCTGCTAACTAACTGCCTAATTGTTTCTGAAGATTAAAAAGTGTAATAAAATAATAACACTCTAGTCATTGACTTTTTTTATGTGGTAGTGCCATGCTGCAGCTATATATATATATATATATATATATATATATATATATATATATATATGTACGAGTATATAGAAAAATATAGAATGGGTCCGCTCGACCGGGGAAGGAACGCGCTCTCACAAGATACCAGCTTAAAAAATAATAATAATGTGAGTTGTTCCTGTGTTTTTTTTTGTTGTTCGGTCAACATTTGCATTTTTTCTTTATTTTTAGAAGACTGACTTGAACATTTTTACAATACTTACTGTGTATGGATTAACAAAGCATTTATAAGTATTTATTGTATTCCCTTCCGTCACAGCCCATCAAAAGTCCATTGCTGAACATACGCCTCCCCCGTAGATGGCTCAATTTTAATATGTCGTTACTCGTGGTGTCAAAAAACTAGCTATTCAAAAAATTATAGTATTCATTTACTTTGCAAGAATCAATCTTTTCTAAAATATTTACCTTGAGCACGTATACTCTTTTTCATAAATCTAAAATACTTGGAAAATATCTCTGACCACTCTTCTCTTTGCCTTCTTATTCATCTATACAGGGATACAATCGATACGTTTTTTGAATTGAAATGTCAAGTTTTTTGGCACTGGAGACTGTGCAGGACAGGATTATAGTGCCCAAGTGTATGCGCAAGTACAGGTGCACTCTCTATTCCCTCACTCTCAAAGTCCAATGGCACGGAAATCCGACACAACTATCAGTTCAGGCGCAGGAACAATGGATTTATGTGCTTTCCGAGGCACGGGGGTGAAGCACCTCCAACTTATCGCTTCCGAGCTGCTACTGAGTATTTTTGGCTTTCGAACTCGGGATCACATGATTAGCTATCACGCTTAGGACCACTATACCATCGAGGCAGTCATTCAGATAATACAAAATTATGAAATGTAATTACTCTCCGGTCGTGTCGGGCTGCCGCTTCATGGGACTTTGAAAGAGAGGCAATAGAAAGTGAACTATTATCATCTTCTGTGCAAAATTTTGTCTAGAGGACATTATAATTAAAAGAATATTACACTTTAAAAAAACGAGCCTGCCGTCTGTTTACGTGTGCTTCGCACAAAGAGACTTTTCATTGGAGAGTGGGATTTAGCTCATCTTCAAATATCTAAGTCATTTCTAGGTATTCCAGCAATCGACGGTTTTTATGATTGATGAAGATAATTAGTTATTTTGAATTACATCAATATAAATTTAAAAATATTATATAGTCTAATAAGAAGATGCCATATGGCTGGCTTTTTACATTCGCGTATACATATTTTTTTCTTTCTTTAACAGCCTGTATATGTCTACTGCATACATATGAATTTAAAATCATGCTGTTTGTTGCAAAATATTATTTCTCTGTTTCTCTGTGGTTGCAATTTGAAAAATATTTAAGACATAAAGTAACAAGTATCTTTTAATTTCAGGGGTTTGTTTAATAGAAAAAGTTAGTAACCGAGACACTAAAGCATTTGTTGTTACCCCCAGTGGAAGGAAAAACTATGGATTGTTTCAGGTGATCTCATTTAAAAAATAATATGAGGCTTAGAAAATGTAAATTTACATCAAAACCATTATAATTATAGTCTTTGAGTTATAGCATGGTTTGGGTGACAGCTTACAGTTTTGGCTTGTCTAGAGATGGAACTTTGTTAAATCGATTTAAAAAAGGCGATTAACGATACACAAAGTAATGCAACAATTATCGATAAGTTATCGATATAAAAATTTAAACTGAAACATATATTTCGTTATAAACTACAATGCATGTAAAATAAAATAAAATTTTAATATAAATTATGACATAATAACTGTTCCTCGACCTCACCCAATTGTATGTATGTATTACGATTGAATTTCATGGGTTTTAATTTTTTATAGTCCAAATATTTTATGACCAAGACATGGAATTATTTTGTAAGAAGGTTGATTTTATTTGGCTACGTGTAAGTAAATTTTTTTGTGGAAATAATATTGGAAAACTTCTTTTTTTTTAATATCAAGTGAAATAAAAATAAAATCAAAATGAAGAAATTAATAATGGGAGAATATTTATGAAATTACGGCACATCTTCTCGTCAGGTATACCTCAAAACTTTAATACGAGACTATACAACCAGTGCGTGTTGCCAGTGATGACCTATGGAACTGAGACGCGGTCCTTCACTGTTGGCCGGATGAGGAAGCTCAAGGTCGCTCAGCGAGCTATGGAGAGGGCTATGCTCGGAGTTTAAGATGTTATTATGTTAGCTATTTACGTAATAACTTAAGATAAAAAAAAAAGAAGTATAACTTCGCCTCCAGGTCCTTCAAAAGAGTTATTGCCAAGGCAAAGTCAGAGCACATAGGCAGAATTGGCGAGAAACTAGTTCGCCTTCCTTCGGGAACCCGTGCATTCTGGTCTCTCGCCAAGGCTGTCCAAGGGAATTTCTGTAAGCCATCACTACCATCTCTGCACAGGGAGGATGACTCACTGGCCCATGACGCAAAAGACAAAGCCGACCTTTTAGGCTCCCTTTTTGCGTCCAACTCGACTCTTGATGACGGGGGGAAAACACCTCCGACCATCCCGCGGTGTGAGTGCTCCATGCCGGATGTGCTGTTCTCACAGCGCTCGGTTTGCAAAGCACTGCTCTCCCTGGACATCCAGAAGTCGAGTGGGCCTGACGGAATCCCCCCAATTGTTCTGAGGACGTGTGCTCCGGAGTTGGCACCGGTCCTAACGCGTCTTTTCCGGTACTCCTACTCCCAAGGCATAGTCCCGAATTCATGGAAGACAGCTTTTGTCCACCCGATCCCTAAAAAAGGCGACCGCTCAGACCCATCCAACTATAGGCCTATCGCGATCACCTCCTTGTTCTCCAAAATAATGGAATCCATTATTAACTGCCAGCTCATCCGGTACCTTGAGGATCACCAGCTGATTAGTGACCGCCAATACGGTTTTCGTCAGGGTCGATCAGCTGGTGATCTTCTAGTCTACCTGACCCATAGATGGGCGGAGGCAGTAGAGTCCAAGGGGGAGGCGTTGGCCGTTAGTCTGGACATTGCGAAGGCCTTCGATCGGGTTTGGCACAAAGCGCTTCTTTCGAAGCTCCCTTCCTATGGGCTTCCCGAGAAATTGTGCAATTGGATCACCAGCTTCCTTGTAGATCGGAGCATCAAGGTCGTTGTAGACGGTGCATGCTCTGACTACAAGCCTATTAACGCTGGTGTTCCACAAGGCTGTGTGCTATCACCAACGCTGTTTCTTCTGCATATCAATGATATGTTGCTAACTGATAACATTCATTGCTATGCGGATGACAGCACTGGTGATGCTCTATACACCGGCCGTGCCAATATTTCTCGGGAAAACGTCGCTGAGTACCGGAACAAACTTGTGTCTGAAGTCAAGTCTTTGCTGAACAAAGTCTCGGATTGGGGGCGACTAAATATAGTCCAATTTAATCCTCAGAAGACACAAGTTCGCGCGTTTACCGCTAAAAAGAACCCCTTTGTCGTATCTCCTCAGTTTCAAGGCACTCCCCTTCTTGCCTCAGCCAGTATCGGTATCCTCGGCGTCGACATATCGAGTGACGTGCAGTTTCGTGGTCACTTGGAAAGGAAGGCCAAATTGGCCTCTAAAAAGCTTGGCGTGCTCAGCAGAGCGGGACAGTATTTCATGCCGGCACACCGCCTGCTACTTTACAAGGCGCAAGTTCGGCCTCACATGGAATACTGTTCCCATCTCTGGGCAGGGGCTCCCCAGTGCCAGCACCTTCCACTTGACCGCATCCAACGCAGAGCGGCTCGAATTGTCGACGACCGAGCCCTTTCCGATCGGCTCGATTCATTGGCACTGCGAAGAGATGTTGCATCCCTTTGCATTTTCTTTCGCATCTACCATGGGGAGTGCTCTGAGGAATTGTTCGGATTAATCCTAGCCGCCAAATTTCACGAACGCACATCGCGGCAGAACTCCCGATACCATCCACACCATCTGGATGATTGGCGGTCCACCACTGTGCTATTTAGAAGATGTTTTCTTCCTCGCACGACCTCCTTGTGGAATCGATTACCATCAGCGATTTTTCCGGACCGATACGATTTTGGGACCTTCAAGAAAAGAGCGTACTCCTTTTTAAAAGGCCGGCAACGCATCTGCGATTCCCCTGGTGTTGCAGTTGTTCATGGGCGGCGGTAGTCACTTACCATCAGGTGAGCCGCATGCTCGTTTGCCCCCTCTCCTATAAAAAAAAAAGATAGAAGGACCCTTAAGTAGGGACTGAATAAATTAACCGATTTGTTATTACATGGATCTCACTACTTATTACGGTAGAAGAACTGAGTTGAGAGACTTGGTTTTTTTACAAGTTATGTATTTGATGGCATATATTTTACTACACGAAACTGAATAACATTAGAAATTAACTGATTTTTTACCATGATAGTTCTAAAATAATAATACTAATAATAATATTTGGTTCCTAAAGACCGAGATTCCACAGACCCGAGCAAATAACGCCCTATAACGTGTCTACCACCATATACAAGACACTAACATCCATTTTGAGCGCGAGAATCACACGTCACCTGAACTCAAAGCAGGTGATGTTGCGCGCTCAAAATGGATGTCGGGGCAGTGACCGTGGAACCAAGGAACCACTCCTCCTCACTGACGCGCTCATTGGCAAGGTGGTTAAACGCAACCGTCGGAACCTCTTCGCCAACTGGATAGACTACAAAAAGGCATTCGACTTTGTGCCTCATACATGGCTTATAAAGATTAGCTATAAAAGGTTGACTGCACAGTTCGAGAGTTGTACTTGCCGCGGAACATGGTGAGCACGGCTTTTTAAGTGCGCGTACTATGCATTGTCGCAAAGTATGCAGCCACCGTAATTACTTTCTGATGAGAGCGGATGGATTATATAGGGACATTATTTCTTGTGATAAAGGACTTACCGCTCTATCCTTAGCCAATGAGCAATGGCAAGACAGTACAGAGTATTTCCAACCGGGAGACCATATAGAAGGAGAAGGAGCTCCGCGAGAGGTTCTACAAGGTTCTACATGAGCCTTTCGTAGACACAGTTGCCTCCCTCCACTGGCTACGTTTTGGTGACCTCTTTGGGGAAACCGAGGGTTTTGTCTGTGCAATACAGGATCAGGTTATAAGGACCAACAACTATCTGAGATACATCCTAAGGAATGGCACCGTCGACATTTGTCGAGCTTGTCGCCATCCCGGTGAATCACTTAGGCATGTCATCTCTGGTTGACTCTGAGTATTTGCATGGGCACAACCTAATATCCAGGATTCTACACCAAGAGCTCGCTCTGAAATACGGTCTCGTGGATCGGAAACTGCCTTATTATAAGTACATCCCGGAAGCCGTGCTCGAAAATGACCGCGCCAGGATCTACTAAAACCGGGCCATCAGCACAGATAGGACCATTCTTGCAAATAAGCCTGATATTGTGCTGATGGATCAGGCACAGTCAAGTATATTTTTGGTCGACATTACCATTCCGTGTGACGAGAACCTCGTGAAATCCGAAACAGGTAAGCAAACAAAATATCTGGACCTAGCTCACGAGGTGAACGACATGTGGGGTAGACCGCCGACCGAAATTATACCTGTAGTCGTTTCTGCGAACGGGTTAATCCCAGTCAGCCTCTTGGGTCATCTGAGGCGACTGGGACTCTGTGAAGGATCGCTCCAAGGTCAAATGCAGAATACGGTGCTCCTCGATACAGCCCGCATCGTACGCCGGTTTTTTTCCCTTTCCCTCTAACCCTCGGCCGTTTGATCTCCCCTGCCGAGGGCTTCCATCTGGTTGGGTTTTTATTTATTTATGTATTTTTATCATTTTCATTAACAATTATATATTTATACAGCCCAATCAGATGAGAAAGCTATACCCCCTATAATAATATTTTTATTTATTAAAAAAACGTGATCGATAATAAGAACTTACCTGCCTTTGTTTTTTAATACAAAATGAAGATAATGAAATAAAAGTAAACAATTTTCCCCAAATTAGATCAGAAAGTTGTATTTTCAAATCATGATCCTTGGAGAAAAATGTTTACTGTCATAGACAGTTTTTCCTGAGGTTTTTTATAGAAGAGGGGGCGAACAAGAATGCGGCTCACCTGATGATAAGTGTGTACCCTCGCCCATTGCAAAAACTGCAACACCAGGGGAATTATAATTGCGTTGCCAGCCTTTTAAAAAGGAGTAGTTCGTTTCTGGAAGGTCTGGAAAAATCGTCGTCGTCGAAAAGAAGACGTGTGGGGAAGAAAATTCCTAGTAAAACGCACAGAGGTTGACCGCCAAGCATCCAAATGGTGTGGATGATCCAGATGATTTCGAGACGTGAGTTGGTGAAATATTGCTGCTGGAGTTAATCTAAACAGTTCCAATACGATAGAAAATGTAAAAGTTGAACATCTTTTCGCAAAACCAGTAAATCGAGTTGATCAGAAAAAACTCGGTGGTTGGTGATTCGAGCCGATCTGCGCTGGTTGCAATGAAGTGGCAAAAGCTGGAACTGGGATGTCTCGACCCAGAGATGAGTACAGTATTCCATGTGAGGTCGAACCTGCGCTTTGTTAAGTTGCAAGTGGTGTGCTGGCATAATATTCTGTCTCGCTCTGCTGAGCACGCCAAGCTTTTTAACATAATGTAAATAAAACGTAAACAGGTAGCTACTTATATGAAAAATAAAACTGTCACTGTGCTCTCCACGCTTCCGTGTTTTTATTTCACCTTTTTTTTCCTTGATGTTAAACTGCTTTGGTATAAATTATTTTGTTGGGGATATATTAAATAATGGCACTGGGGAAAATGAAAGTAAAACTTTAAAATTACTTCTTCGATATGTGAATGACCTTAACGAATTAGTCCAAACACGTATCTTTTAACATAAATAATTAAGAACAGTACATATCTCCTGAAATATGTAATTTTTTTAGTGATATTAGGATAAAATTTTGATTTTTAGAAAACTCTATGTGATATCGAAATTATTTTTAAAGTAAATACAATTTATGGAGTACATTTAACCCCACATTGTAAACTTGAATAGTTTTCTAACCTTAAAAGTTGAAAATAATTAGAACCAGGCGTTGCTTTGCGTAAATTCAGAAACCTAAATATGAGGAAGTCGTTCCTGTAAAAACCACATATAAAAATGCTCAATATATACTACCTTGTAGAATACCATCACCATTCCTCCCACAATTGCATTAACTATCACTATCTCTACTGAACACAACTATACTTCCTCATACCTTGACCCTAGAGAATAAACGTTCTTAATGATACACATCTAATGCATACCTTTTAATTATTGGATGCGGATCTTAGCCAATTTCTATAAATTTTCAGATACCTAGCCGATGGAGCAGAGAAGGCAAAAGAGGAGGTGAATGTAATACTACTTGTGAATGTAAGACTTTTTTACTGTACATTTTAAACGAGAAGAAAAAAGAGGGAAAACTATAACGCTTTTAGCTAGAGCTAAAAGCGTTATAGTTTTCCCTCTTTGTCTTAGAACTCTGTTGTGTTAGAACACAACTTGTGCGAGTCGCTCAAAATGCCATGGTGTTTCATGGAAACGCTTTCGCACACAATCGCGGCTCCACCACTACTAACAAAATAGGATATTTTTTCCCATCTTCACCTACTCAGGCAAGGCCCGCCTCACTATACGACCATGGGACACCGCCAGAGTTGCGGAGTATAGCCTTTTCGTTTCGTCTCATTCGTGGAGGAGGATAAAACAATATGTGAACCGTTTCTCGGAGGCTACCAAAGCGAATGTAGCTCTGCACGGATTACTGAAACGTGACGTAAATATAAGCTACTCAAAAAGATGGCTATGTTTGAATATCTGTCAAAGATGGTCTATATAGGTAATCTTTTTTTTATAGAAGAGGGGGCAAACACCTAATGGTAAGCGACTACCGCCACCCATGAACTACTGCAACACCAGAGGAATTGCAGATGCGTTGCCGGCCTTTTAAAAAGGAGTACGCTCTTTTCTTGAAGGTTCGTAAGTCATATCGGTCCGGAAAAATCGCTGGTGGTACTCGATTCCACAAGGACGTTGTGCGAGGGAGAAAACTTCTTCTAAATCGCACAGTGGTGGTCCGCCAAGCATCCAGATGGTATGGATGATATTGCGAGTTTTGTCGAGATGTGCGATAGTGAAATTAAACGGCTGGAATTAGTCAGAACAATTCCTCAGAGCACTCCCCGTGATAGATGCGATAAAATACGCAGAGATGCAACATCTCTACGCAGTGCCAGTGAGGCAATCCGATCGAAAAGAACTCAGTCGTCGACGATTCGAACCGCTCTGCGCTGGTTGCGGTCAAGTGGAAGGAGCTGGCACTGGGGAGTCCCTGCCCAGAGATGGGAACAGTATTCTATGTGAGGCCGAACCTGCGCCTTGTAAAGTTGCAAGCGGTGTGCCGGCATGAAATACTGTCCCGTTCTGATGAGCACGCCAAGCTTTTTAGAGGCCTACTTGGCTTTCTCTTCCAAGTAAACACGAAACTGCACGTCACTCAATATGTCGACACCGAGGATTCCGATACTGGCTCAGGTAACAAGGGGAGTGCCTTGAAACTGAGGAGATACGACAAAAGAGTTCTTTGTAGCGGTAAACGCGTAAACTTGTTACTTGGAGTTCAACTGGACTAAATTTAGTCGACCCCAGTCTAAGACTTTGTTCAACAAAGTCTCCACTTCAGACATAAGTTTGTCCCGGTACTCGGCGACATTTTCCCGGGAAATATTGGCACGGCCTGTGTATAAAGAATCACCAGTTTGCAACATATCATTGATATGCAGAAGAAACAGCGTTGGTGATAGCACGTAGCCTTGTGGAATACCAGCGTTAATGGGCTTGTTATCGGGCATGCACCGTGTACTACGACCTTGATGCTCTGATCTGCAAGAAATATGGTGATCCAATTGCACAATTTCTCGGAAAGCCCATAGGAAGACAGCTTCGAAATAAGCAGTTTATGCCAAACCCGATCGAAAGCCTTCGCTATGTCCAAACTATCGGCCAACGCCTCCCTCCCCCTTGGACTCCACTGCCTCCGCCCATCTATAAGTTAGGTAACCTAGAAGATCACCAGCTGAGCGACCTCGAATGAAACCGTACTGGCGGTCACTAATCAGCTGGTGATCTTCAAGGTACCGCATGAGCTGGCTGTTAATAATTGTTTCCATTACTTTGGAGAACAAGGAGGTGATAGCGATAGGCCTTTGGTTGATTGAATTTGAGCGGTCGCCTTTTTTAGGGTTCAACAAAGCTGTCTTCCATGAGTTTGGGACTACGCCTAGGGAGTAGGAGTACCGGAAAAGAGTCACTAAAACCGGTGCCAACTCCAGAGCACACGTCTCCAGCACAAAAGGTGGGACTCCATCAAGCCCACTCGACTTGTTGATATCCAGGGAGAAGGGTGCTTTACGCACCGAGCACAAACAGCACTTCCTGCATGGAGCACTCACACAGCAAGATGGTCGGCGGTGTGTTGCCCCGTCATCTAGAGTAGAGCTGGAAGCAAAAAGCAGATCGGCTTTCTCCTTTGCGTCATGGGCCAGTGAGTTGTCCACTCTGTGCAGGGATGGCAGAGAGGGCTGACAGAAGTTCCCTTGGATAGCTTTGGCGAGATACCAGAATGCACGTGTTCCCAAAGTTATGCGAACTAGTTTCTCGCCAATTCTGCTGATGTGCTCTGACTTTGCCTTAACAATGACATTTTTGAAGGACCTGGCGGCGGAATAATACTATCTGTGTGACCACACACACACATGACGTTTACAGTGGATGACATTCACAGAATTAAAAGCGAATAATTCAAATATTTTAACACATCATGTAGTATAATTTTTCTTCTTTCTTCATTTAAGCTCTGTTAGATGATGATATTCGGAACGATACAGCCTGTGCTCTGAACATTTTTCTTCGCGAAGGATTTAAATACTGGACACAGTGGGAAATAAGATGCAAAAATGACAATCATATATCAAAAGAAATTCACAAGTAAGTTTACTTAATGAATAGAATAGAATAGAATAGAATGATTTTTATTCAATATGGATTATTACATAATACTTATTGAAAGTCATTATTTTATTTACCACTGGTTCGGAAAATACCTCTGTCCTGGGAAGAACCAGCAAGAAACCCAGCGGGACTTTTTTTTTAAACATAATTTCACTTAACAATAATTTTGTTTATACAATTTTAAATGAATTTTCATAGAACCAGCATGGTGGCGATCACCTTATTCCCAGGGGTTATTTTCATTCATGTATTCCTTGATATTACAATAACCCTTTTTGTACAGTTTTTCTTTAATAAAACTTTTAAACTTGTTTATTGACAAACTTTGAACATGTTCTGGGATTCTGTTGTAAAAGCGTATACATTGCCCCATAAATGAATTACTAATTCTGTGGAGTCTTGTAAGTGGAATTACAAGCTTATGTTTGTTCCTAGTGTTTAAGGTATGAACATCCTTATTCTTATTAAAGCTATTTATGTTTTTATGTACATACATTACATTTTCATAAATATATTGCGATGCCAAAGTTAATATGTTTATTTCTTTAAATTTTTCTCTAAGGGACTCTTTACAATTTAGATTATAAATCGCCCGTACGGCTCTCTTTTGCAAAACAAATATAGCTTCAATATCAGTCGCATTACCCCATAGCAAAATTCCATAAGACATTACGCTATGAAAGTAACTAAAATACACTAACCTAGCTGTCTCAACATCTGTGAGACTTCTAATCTTTCTTACAGCATATGCTGCAGAACTAAGTCTGCTTGCTAATTTAGATATATGGGGGCCCCATTGAAGTTTCGCGTGAATAGTAATACCGAGAAAAACAGTGGTATCCACAAGACTCAACTCCTCCCCATTTAAGAGCACATTGGTTTTCGAATGTTTTACATTAGGTATTGTAAATTTAATACATTTTGTCTTATTGCCGTTTAAGAGCAAATTGTTGGCGTTAAACCAATGTACTAGTTTCGATAGAGCATTATTTACATCGTCATATTTAATTGACTGCCGTTTCAGTTTGAAAATTAAAGAGGTATCGTCAGCAAATAATACTATATCGTAATTGTCCCCTACAAGATAAGGTAAGTCATTAATATAGATTAAGAACAGGAATGGGCCAAGAATCGAGCCCTGAGGAACGCCCATTGATACTACCGATCCGGAGGAACATTTACCATTAATGACGACTTTTTGAGTTCTGTTACTTAAATATGAAGTAATAAGTTTAAGCGCCAAATTTTTTACACCGTAATGTTGTAGTTTCCTGATTAATGTATCATGATGAACACAATCGAAAGCCTTGGAAAGGTCACAGAAAATACCTAAGGCATCTTGTGAATTCTCCCAGGCATTAAAAATATATTTCATAAGCTCAACACCGGCGTCAGACGTCGAGCGACCCCTTGTAAAACCAAATTGATTTTTATGAAGTAATTTATTTGTATTAAAAAAAATTAACAATTGATCCAAAATTATTTTTTCAAAAATTTTACTGAGAGTTGGTAGTACAGAAATAGGTCTATAATTAGCGGGGTCCAATGTACTACCAGATTTAAATAAAGGTATTACTTTACTATACTTCATTAAATCAGGAAACACACCAGAATCGATACAAGTATTAAAAATAATAGCAAGATGAGGTGCAATTAAATCTATTATGGACGCAATCACTGTAACGGAAATCCCCCATAAATCTGCGGTTTTCTTTACATCAATGGTTTTGAAGTATTTTACAATATTATGCGGTAATACTTTTTCAAATCTAAATTCTTTTAAACAGGTATTAACATTCTGTTTAAGTAATGATTCGGCGACAGTTGGAGAAGCATTCAATGACTCTGTTGTCAAGATAGGAACATCAGTGAAATATTTCTCAAACACCGCTGCAACTTCTTGATTTGATTTAGTCAATTCATTATTAATTTTTAATTGATAGTTTGAATTACGAGGTTTCTCTTTACCGGTTTCGCTGTTAATTATACTCCACGTCATTTTAATTTTATTCTTAGCTGTCTTAATTTTGTTACTAATATGTAATGATTTGGCTGTGGAGCAAACTCTTTTAAACATTTTAGAATAATTTTTTACATATTCTTTAAAAGCATCGGAAAGATTATACGATCTTTCATGGTAAAGGTCATATAACCTTCGTCTGCTTTTATGAATTCCTACTGTTGCCCACTCATTAAATGCCTTGCGACTGTTTCTGGAGAATGTTTTAGAAGTGAATGTTTTATTAAATTCATTGTTTATAAAGGTAAATAATTCTCTATATAAATAGTCTGCATTGTTCTTATAAGAAAGGGATGGAAGGATTTTTAACATATTACTTCTAAATCTCTCCAGGCGTTTTGCATTAATAGGAACAAACACAATTTTCTCATTTACCTGTTTTTTGTGCATATAAGGTAACGAAACCAGTTGTCCACAGTGATCTGAATAAATTTTTTGTATTATTGATTTGTTGATTGGTACAAGACCTGTAAAAATATTATCAATACAAGTTGCACTACACCCTGCAATACGTGTAGCTTCAAAGAATAAATTATTAAGATTATAGGATTTGAACAAAGAACAGAATTTAATACTGATGGAAGAAGTTTCCAGGAGATTGATATTAAAGTCTCCACACACTACAAGAGATTTATTCTGTTTATTAAGCTTAACTAAAACTTCTTCCATAATTTTTTCAAAAGTATCATAACTTGAACATGGGGGTCTGTAAACACTGACAACAATAAGGTGCTCAAGCTCAACACATGCCATTTCTACAGTACGCTCAACAGAGAGGCTCACAATGTCTTTACGTTCTTTACATGATAAGGACTTATTAGCTAATATTAAGGAGCCACCACGTAATTTAGTATCTCTATTGAACGAACTGACCACCTGGTGATTACTGAAATTAAATATGGAGTTGTATTCTTTCAACCAATGTTCTGTAATACATAAAATATTTATAATGTTACTATTTAAAAATAAATCAATTTCTAATTCTTTGCCTAACATACCTTGTATATTTTGATGCACCAGGTTGATACAGTTTTTATTATTGTTATTTTGTAAAATTGCATAATTATGTATTGGTAAGTTGCATTCTAAGCTATTTAAATTATCTGTGCTAGAGATTACCTCTATTGTCTTATTATCTAATTTAAATTACTTGGAACTGGTTCCAAATCAAATATAAAATTATTTTGTTGCTCAAAAGAAGCAGGTGTCAAGGTAGCCAAATCATTGGCTGAGTTAAAATATAAATAATAAGATAGCGTATTTGCTACCAGTCTTAAACTATACTTTGATAGGTAATACCTATCTCTTGTCAAAAACTTCTTAGTTAAATTATTAATATCAATTAAATGAAATTTATCATTATTATTCTTACAATTAAATGTCAAATTTAAGTTATTGTTACATGTCAAGTTATGCATCATTAAATTTAAATTATGTCTTAGTTTATTTTCCTGTGGCCACCCCTCTATGTAAGGCAATGTAAACAAGATAACTTTAACCACATTTATGTTATTGAGATATTCAATATATTTTAATAATTGATTCTTGTTCATATTGCCTCTTCTCCCAACCCTATCTAGTAAATTTAACCCTAAAAGTTATTAATATACTATTAGGGTTAAATTTACTAGTTAAAATTTTATTCATAATATCACTGAATGATGCTCCAGGCATGCAGTAATTACTTATCTGTTGCCTTTTTAAACAGTTATTCAATGATATACCCAAGTTTTTGCCTATGTCATCACTATACACAATTATATTATTTTTTTCATTATATGGATTACTTTTAAAATTTATCTGCTTTGTTATGGTACTATCATAGAGTGTAGGTAAAGAAAATGAAGTATTACTGCTTGTCATATTATTAACACACACTGTCCCTAAAGAACCTGGCAGTGAGCGCTGATATTCATTTTGATATTTTAATAAGGAGTCATAACATTCCTCGTTATATTTGCAGGACTTTACCCGATTATCCATGGCCAGTATGTGTTCTTTTATCTCATTCCCTGCAGATTTATATTTATTTGACATAATTTGTAATGAGGTTTGAAGTGATAAAATTTCTGAATTAAGACACTCTATTTCAGTCTCATAACAATTTTTCATGTTTTCCACCTCAATTGAATATAATTTAATTTTACTAATTAACTCTTGCTTTTCCTTACATACATTTGTATAATTTTTAATATTAATTTTAGTTTTAACTAATTTTTGCACTTTCCTAATATATTTATTAATTTTTATATATTTTTTTAATTTCCTTCTGCTGCTTGTAATCCTTTCTGCTGTTCTTGATGTGGTAGAATCATCAGTCAAATCTATTGTTGTGGAGGGTTGCAACGTTTTATGAAATTTACATTCTACGAGCTCCTCGAACAGACTCTGAGTTTTAAGTGCATGCAAGTTATCAATGTTTTGTTTAAATTGTGAAATTTGCTCATTAGCTTCAGTTAATTGTAATTTCAATGCAGCAATTAATCTGAGGGATTCCTCATATTCTTTGCTGCATCGGTCAAACTCATCGACTGTCCTCTGGAGCTGATCCCTTTCCTTTAAAATATCTGTATAGTCTCTATGTAACTTAACCATATCACTTTTCAATTGAGTATTTTTCGAAATTATACTTATTATTTCCTTTTCGTTGTCATCCCTTTCTTTAAGTAACAGCTCACACTGCTCCCTGGACGCTCTCAGTTCTTGGAGCGCAAGATGGAGTTGGTTCTCCATCTGGCGCGTTTTGGCGTTACGAGTATTCATTTTACTATGTATTTTAAATAGTAAAAGAAAACAAAGATGGAAAATCAAGGGAACAGAGTAAGCAAATATCCAATTATAGGACTCTTATTACAGATCTCAAATTAAATTATCAAGAAAACAATTCAAAATGAAATCCGAAAACAACAACACTTAAGAGATATATCGTAAATATTAAAAGGGATAACAAGAATTACAGTAACTTTTAAACGATGTTCGTTACCTGCTGTCACTTTAAGTTGAGAGGCACTAAAAATTTATTTATTTAAATATTTACCACTTTTATTTATTACACAATAAAATTTGTTCGTAATTAACAACTATAACTTAAATTTGAGGTGGAAATGATCAATTACAATAATTATTTTTACGAAATTATTTGGGAGCCCAATTTTTTAACTATTTGTTACCGGGGTTGCCACAGAGAATCAAATTAATTACCGTCCTCATAGCATCTATAAATTCCATTCTTCATCTCTCTATTTAAGTGAAATTTCAACATAATTTTTTTAAATATATCTGTTTATATTTTGAATTGTTTTATTAATAAATTCTATAAGAACAATTATTCGTGGATTAATAATAAAAAATTGTTAAGCTTTTTTAATATTTTTTTAGGTGTCCAGATTTAATGTCACATACACTTAGCACAAACCGCAGCCTATTAAGACATAACTTAAGAACACTATATAATAGGATGAAATAGACTGAATAAGATTTTCAATTTTATGTATTCTACATTGGATCCAATAAAATTAACTAACAAATCCAAATTTGCAACTTTTATTTTTGGATAATAATAACACAATGTTTAATTAAGTAAAAAAAATCCCTTGTATTTTTTATAGCTGGTGTTATAGATTCAAGTAGATTATTTGTTAAATGAAAAATATTGGCAACTATTGCCTATGGTTAAACACACACATATATATATATATATATATATATATATATGTGTGTTTAATACATAATAATACTTTTTATTCTGACTTTGGTCCATGATGTTTAAGCATGAAAAAAGTAACGGAATAATGTTTTAAAAGATACGAAGAAAAATCATAGACTTAGAATATACTGCTGTATAGACGACCTGACAGCCCGAAAACGCGTGAATAATTTTGATTTGTCATGTGCGTTAGTTGCATTGGATTTTTAAGAGGAAGGCTTAGCGGTTAGAAGCTTTAGGTAAAATCATACAAGAACGCATGTAAGGAAGCGATAGTTATGATGAAGAATCCTTTGGCACTGAAACTGACGCAACGGATACGTATAAATACAGATGGCATACAATTAATAATCAGATAAAGACAGGTATGGCGTCAAAATTTTCACTTGATACGGTTGAAGGTGTAAAACCAGTAAGGAATTACAATTTACCTAAGTATGAGTTAAAGAAATTTGATGATAACCTGAAGAATTGGTTAGCTTATTGGGGCTAATTTAAGAAAATTGGCGAAAACCACTCAATGTCTGGAGATGATAAGTATCGGTACCTCTTCAATTATTGAAAAAAGATAGTAACGGTCGAGAATTGGTGGAAAGTTTTCCTTCGTCTGCTGCAAATTATACTAAGTCTATTGAACAACTCAAGGCAAGATTTGGACTTTTGGAGGTTTATGCTAGGGAATTATTCAGTTTAGTTTTAAACAATAATAAAACAAGTATCTATTAGACTATTGTGTGCTGTATTTTGTATGATGAGCGTAGAGAACCGGAGACCCATTTTATTGGAAACGAGGCATTCCGTCTTAGTCCTCGCAGGTAACAACGCATCTGCATTGTGATTCGTAATTGAGGATAGATGTAGATGCCTATAGGCCACAGCAACCACTTACCAGCAGGTGGACTGTGTGCTCGTTTGTCACCCATATCCTATAAAAAATACTATTATATGACAAAATTTCAACATATTTTATGTCCTTAGAAACGTTAGGTATTAGTAAACAGAAATATGAAATTATATTGTATCCTATTGTAAAAACAGCAACTTCAGAAACAATTTTTATTGCTTGGAATAGATGTTACACTGATCTACTTCCCTGTAATCAATTGACAAGTTTATTAAATTTTATTAAAAACAAAGTAGAAACAGAAAAGCTATTTAATTTAGCGAGGTCCGATTTTAATTGTAGTGGTACTAATCACACCCTGCAGAGGGAACAAAAAGCAGCTTACCAACAGCAGCATCGTTAGTGTCAAATATAAAACGAAAGGAGTCAGGTAAAGTATTCAATGTTATTTGCTGTTTTTGTAACAAAATAAGTCATAATTCTTTTAAATGTAGTAAAGCTAATAAGATGTCCCTAGAGGATAAAAAAGAGGCAATAAAAAGAAAGGTTGCTGCTAAATATGTATTAAAAAGGTCACATGGCTAATAAATGTAAATTTTTCGTTAGATGTTCAGCATGTGTCAAAAGACACTTTGTAATTTTATGTCCAGAAACTCATAAGAAAAAAAGAGTGGATCATCGGAAAATGTTTCGTTATGTGCCAGAACTAATATGACAACTTTGTTACAAACACTCATTGTTAATATTAACTATCAAAGAAAAATCAAAAAGGTGAGAGTTTTGTTAGACAGTAGTTCACAAAGTTCGTATGTAAAAGCCAAAGTTGTTGAAGAATTAGGATTGCATAAGACTGGCACAGAAATAATAGGTCACACATTATTTAAAATATTAGAGAAGTTACGGGACTTAAATATTGTGATCAATGATTTTGTTTATACAGATACTGAGATAAGTTTCTTCATTGGGTTTGATTACTTAGGATCCATTATATATTATGAAATGGTATCTCGCTCCGCATACAACTCAGGAGTATCTTCTGATAACGACTCGTACTCTGTCTGTAATGTGTCGAAATCACTGTGTAAGTGTTCTGTTTTGCATAAACGACATTCTAATTCATTAACTTGAAGGTCACTCAATGACTCACAACTTTTTAGGATATGTAAATAATTATAAAACTGAGTAAGCATAGTTTTAATGCTACTACGCGCGTTCACAATGTCTCTAAGTCGTTCTTTATTAACTTCACTCATTTTCAGCAATGCAAATCACACAAAAGTAAATAAATTCACAAGCGCGTAACAAAATTACTAAACAAAGCACTGTTAGAATTTATGAGTAAGCGGGTGAACTAATCGAGCGACACAAAGTGAAACCGGTTATGCGCCCGGTTATGCAGTAAAGCGAAGGAATGCGTTGTATATGGCTACAATGCAAAATAATATGCTTCAGAGAATTAGTCACTTGATGCGTAAGATTATAATGCGATAATGGGATGGCTGGTAGTATGGTGTATTAGCAAGAAATATTGATTAATAAAAAAAAAGCAACACAAAATATGAAGAGATCCCAATGTCGGATCCGAATTGTGCTAATCTAAAAAAGACACGTAAAGGAAAAAAAGAAAGGAATTGGAACGAACTCACTCAAATAAAGTCCTTTGTCTTAACGTTCGATGTACGTGGCGTGTAGTACAATGCAGCATAGGTCCAAAGTTCACCTTGCGTAATTGTAGATTCCTTGTGATATTATTGAATGTATTTTCGTTGATTATTCCTTTTCTTCAAGGCGGCGAAGGACCAATTTTGTTTACAAATGGACGTAACAAAATAAAATAAAATAAAATACGGTCGCTGGTAAAAATGATATAATGACTTGCTAATATCTGGTACAATGGTAAGACCTTTTAAAAGAAGATTGCCGCTGGGCGCCCCCTGGCGCCTTGTTTTATACCGCTGATTATTAGTCGGTGTTGCCGCAACAATAAGTTATTAGTTAACAGCAGAAATAAAAAATATAAAAAGAAAGAAAACATTTTATAAAAAATTTATAAGTTTACTTATAAATTAAGCCAATAAGATTAATATGAACGGTGGCTCTCTTAGGCGTCCTCATTATAATCTATGGAATTAATATACCCAGTTTCAGCAGGCCTCCGTCACTCGCTCAAGGCCCTGCGTTATATACCTAACGTTATGCGTATCGCCCACGATACAACCGACACTGGGCTGCCTCACGCCCGCCTGAGCGCTTGCACCGCGCACGGTTCCCACGGTTACTCGTCGAAATGCCGAAACCACTTAATTATTTTGCAGTGGATGGGTGTCAGAGTCAAAAAATCATTCTTAAATAATTTTGACAACGCCATAATGAATCGGCCTGGCAGCAGCGTGTTACACATTTTACAAACCATTTATTTTCCTCCGCTTTGCTCCTGTTTTCCTATGATTATTTATTAAAATTATTTACGCGATTTAGGATATTTTCAACGATAAGATTTAATAACCGAGAAATCAGAGAAGGAAAATAATGTATAAATCATTTTATAAACTCAAACATATTTGATTGACAAATAAAAATATTGGTTATTTCGCAAGATTCGTTTTATTACAATAATCATCATAAGTACAACCCTAGCCCATTCGTGCGATGACGCGCTTGCACGTGAGTCGCACTGCGGTCAACACAACCTCGACTCTTTAAGCGCGTACTTATGGTACATTTTTGTCTCGCTTCGAACAGCAGATATTATTATTAAAAGTTTGTAGGCTATTATAGCGTAGGTATTTTCGCTTTTGTATGGGAGTGATGTATCTGTTTACTTTAGTAAACTATTTAGTAATCTGTGGTTTCAGCCATCTTCTTAGCTGGGCATTCAGCGTCACTTGTTTTGTGGTTGCTTGCTTTTTTTAAAACGCGAGCATGTTGCACAGGTTGCTGGATCAGCTTTCTTAATTCACCACAAAATCTTCACGTGTCGATGATTTCCGCATGCACGCTTGCAGCATGTCCGTAATGTTGACAGTTGAAGCACCTGGTCACAAGTGCTAATTCTCGAACTTTGCACGACGTCCAATTTATGAAAATTTGCTCCTGGTAGATAAGCGCCTATCTGATGCCAGCTGGAACTTCCAAAATAAAGTTGCATGAAAGTGCTTTTTTACCCGATTTATGACTTAACGTTGTAGAGGACAAAAAAGATTCCCGCGTTAAGTTAGGGAGCTTATCGGCTAAATTTTGTTCATAAATGCAATCAAACACTTCTCGTTCGCTAAGGGCGGCAGGTATACTTAAGACTATGATCCGTGGTCTTGTTTTATGATGTTTTTCCACCTTTAGACCGGAACTACTAAGCTGGGTTGATTTTTTAGCTTATCTATGTCATCCTTTGTTTCAGTGCTGATAATAACGCCTTCATTTTTAGTTTTACGTAGACCTCTTACGTGTAATTTCAAATGTTCGGGGCATATAATTTTTTGGACAAGAGATTTTGAGTTTTCAACAGTTTTTAAATTATTCTCCGTGGAAATTGAACGCACACGCACACGCACACGCACAAGCACGTGCACGCGCACTCGTACACGCACACGCACACGCACACGCGCACGCACACGCACACGCACACGCACACGCACACGCGCATTCACACGGACACGCACACACACACACACACACACACATACACACACACACACACACACACACACACACACACACACACATACACACACGCGCACGCACGCGTGTATATATATATATATATATATATATATATATATATAATACTTTATATTCTGACTTTGATCCATGATGATTTAAAAATGAAAAAAAGTAATGGAATAATGTTTTCGAATACATGAAGAAACACGTAATAATTAGTCACCGTTTTTTAAGTAGCCACTATATTGATTAAAAT